GCTCGCACAATCCTCTCAATGGGGCACATTTTCAGCTACAGATGTGTCCTGTTTTTCCTGGGAGAGCTATCCGTGACTTAAGGAAATCTGTATAAACTCCATTCAGAAATCCCCCGCTGAGAACATCGATAACAATGATCTGGGCAGAGTGTAAGTAGTGGCAAGATGACTGGGCTTTGAAACCAGGCTCACTCGGGTTCGAGTCCTGACTCCCGTACTTGTGGCTCTGGGCAAATGACTGAGTCTGTTTCCTCATGCAGCTATTTCACCACGTGGTTGGGGAAAAGGAAATAAAATGACATACGCCGAGCTTCTGGCATAGTGACTTGCTCATAACAGGTGCTTCGAATGGCTCCCTAATGAAACTTGTACTTTCCAAAAGACTACAAACACTCTCAGCTCCCCCTACACACACACACACACACACACACACACACACACACACTCATTCTGGTAGCTCCGCGATCCCTCGACACTCTCTTTTTACTGTCATAGGTATTTTTTAGAAGCCGAATGATAGGCTTGAGACCGGTGAGTACGTTCATAAACTTTTCCCACCAAACACAACAACAGTCATAGAGAAATAGATTTCTTCAAATACATCTTAGATTCAGAAAGTCCTAAGTATCATCATCACCAAAAGGAAAAAAATTAAGCGACCACACGGCATAAGGAAAACAGGGCCTCTAGAAAGAGGTTGCCGGTCCTGCTATAAACTGGACACTTCATAAAAATACTGATGTCTCCGCTTCTCCCTGAGGACCAATTCAATCACCTTCTGGAAGTGAGCCTGGCATTGATATTTTTTATTTTCCCCATGAGACTGGGAAACCGAAGGGACCCCATCAAAGAAAAAGCTGGCTTTTCTTCGTCTTTTCCTGCTTTTATTCTTGCTAGGACCTGCATCCCTGCCCTACATGTGCCTTAATATATGTTCTCCTCACAAGGGACAAGGAGTTAATGGTTAGCTTTGGAGTCTTCCAGCACAAAAGAAAGTATCTCAGGAAGGATCAGACGAAGCCATCACGTGCATATTCCAGACCACTGGCGCTAGACAGCCTCACTCCAAGACCCACTGGTTCCAGGGAGTGTCTTAGAATGGACACTTGGACCCTGTCGTGGTTCTCAACAGTTCCTAGCTGCCTGGGAGGACACGTGCCCGAGACCATAATCAGTCAGTAAAAACCCCAGACCCCAGGCAAAAATGAGACTCATGCTCCGGTTCCTTTCCGAGTCTTCCAGACGCTGTGTATCTGTTGTCTTCCATAAACTCCGCTCACTTCCTGCAGGCTTGCGTTTGATTTCCACCTTGCATGAAAGCCAAGGACTCTCATGGCTGGACCCTCTGGATCCTTGGACCTGGCCTGCCTGCCTCACCCAGGTGAGCATCTGTGGTGAGGCTTAAGGCATACTAAGGGTTTGTTTAAAGCCTCTGGGTCCCCCACCACTGCAAATGCCACTAGCTGGGAGGGACTGGGCTCAGGAAATCCACAACTGAGTAGCAAAGAACGCAAAGTATTGATCTCTTGGTCTGCCCCACTCACCAACATTTGCATTTCCAAACATACTTCAAAAATTTATTTTTTAAAGATTTTATTTATTTATTTGAGAGAGAGTGTGAGAGAGAGAGAGAGCACATGAGAGGGGGGAGGGTCAGAGGGAGAAGCAGACTCCCCGCTGAGCAGGGACCCCCGATGCGGGACTCCATCCAGGGACTCCAGGATCATGACCTGAGCCAAAGGCAGTCGCTTAACCAACTGAGCCACCCAGGCGCCCATACTTCAAAAATTTAAAAACAGATTCCAACCGAGATAATCAACAAGGTGACCTGAGGCTGTGAAACCCAGATTCAAAGTGTGTTAGGACTCTAAGGAGGAAGAGAGGCCACCCAAGTTCCAGACTTTTCTCAGCTTGGCTCACCACCAGTCAACAAGGACTCTCCGAGGTAGCCCAGAATGTCCTACCTGTTTTTCCTTGTAGGTCTCGAAGGATCGACAAGGATGAAAAGCCACTGCCACACACATATGCCTCATAAAGTTTGCTTCTCCAGTCCCAAACTCTAAGGCTTTTTATTCTAGGTGCAAACCAAAGCAGAGAGTACATTTTAAGAGGGACAGAATGTATTATGTAATAATGGGAGCATACTAACAACATGCTGAAGTCTAAAAAAAAAAAAAACTTCCATTCTCCGACTTCGCCTTGTTGGACTCAGTTCATGGTGACGTCCACACGATTATTTTATAACTTGGGGTTCGCAGGACATTTTGCAGTAACTGACTTCCTTGTTTTCCAAAAGCCCTCAGAAGATGCTCTTCTCCTTGCCTGAGAAGGAAGACTTCCCGGGCGGGCTTCTCACATGCTCCCACAACGGGCCATGCAGCACTGCCCTGTTGCTGGATGCAAAATGTGGGCGCCGTCATGGCAGACATCTGAGTGGGTGCTCCTAGAACAGAGGTCTGCCAACTGGGGCCCGTGCTGCCCGTTTTCCTGTGGCTCTCAAACTAAGTGGTTTTTACATTTGTTAAATGCTGAGGTGGGGGGGGTGGGGGGCGGGAAATCAAAGATTTCCCAACACGCGCAAATCATATTCAATTTTAATTTCAGCGTCCCTAGTTTTATTGGAAGGCAGTTGCACCTGCTCATTTACATTTTGCACGTGGCTACTGTCTCTACAAGGGAATGTAGAGTGGTTCTCGTGGGCAGGATGACTGCAGAGCCTAAAATATTATATAGACCCTTTATGTAGAAAATGTATGCTGACTCCCAACCTAAAAGGCCAAGATTGCCTTTTAATCATTTTTGCAAATCTAGTGCTGTGATCATAGCACACCCAAAAACGTGGAGGAAAACCCACAACTGTGTAGCTAAAAGTTCATCAAAATGAGCCTTGTTTCTTAAAAGCAAGTGATTAAATTTGCTTTTCTTTTTGAGGAGGGGTGGTGTCATAAACCACTTAACACACAGCTCTGTGTTCTGTTCAAAGCATCACTAGATGTGTCATTGTATTATAAAAGAAAAAGCAGAGGCGCCTGGCTGGCTCAGTTGTTAAGCGTCTGCCTTTGGCTCAGGTCATGATCCCAGGGTCCTGGGATCGAGGCCCGCATCAGGCTCCCTGCTCAGCAGCGGGTCTGCTTCTCCCTCTCCCCCTACTTGTGTTCCCTCTCTCGCTGTGTGTCTGTCAAATAAATAAAAAAAAGAAAAAAGAAAAAGCCTATCAGTTTACTTTTTGAATGATTTACAGTAACACAGGGCTTGGGGCTTCTTCCCTACTCGCAGCACTGCCTTGGGAGAGAAGCCTTTATTAAAACCTGATGTAGCGATAGGATTCCTTCCTTTCTCCCTTGGATCAGGGAGTCCACTGTAATGTCTAAGGGAGGCCCCCCCAGTTACCAGAGGGCAAATTGAGAAGGCACCCTTGTCTTGCACCCTCCTTCGGTGAAAGCCTGCTTGCTGATGGCACAATGCAGTTAGCACACCCTCCTTCCCAGATGTCAAGAAAACGAAGGCCTGCATGGGAAGCAATATTCTCCAGCAACAGGTTTTCAAATCTCTACCCCCAACAAGAAATGAGGTCAAGTCTTTCTCATTGGATGCATTTTTTTTCTCTCGCCCACTGAAATACCAGCGCGTTGTTAATCAGGCCCTTCCCTACACTTTTGGCTTCCTTCTCTATCACACACCAGGGGAGTCCAAGTTTTGATCGTGATCGTCCACCCCGCAAGTGCCAGCGGGTCAGTGGGCCATCAGGGCGTCTTCCCAGCGTCCTGGCCTCACACCTCCAGTCCCGAGTCCCAGGGAAGAGTCTGGAGACACTAGCAGAGTGGGGGCGGGGAAGCTCCCCTTGCACTGTCCGGGGCCTGGCAGAACACACAGCCATGATCCCCGGAGAAATGCTTTTTTCCAGCCCCAAATGGCCCCTTCAGGTCTCATTGGTCCCCGGCCGCGTCCAGCCCCCGCCATGGCGCTCGGGGCGTGTCAGCTTGCAGACCCCAGGCTGCTGTCCTCGTCGCGCCCCTCCCAGGGACCCGCCCCGGGCTTACCCGGCCTCTGGAGGGGTGGGCGGCTCCATCCAAGGGGCGGGGCGGGAGGAAAGGGGAGGGGCGGCGCGGGGACGTTCCTTCCGGCCCACAATGGTTGCCATGGCCACCACCAGCTGCCCGGGCCCAAGGTCGGCCCAAGGACGTCTGCAGACGCCCCAGGGCACAGAGGGAGCAGGCGTCAAGGGCATTGGGTCAAACAATCTTTTATTCTCAAACAAACTCGGGGGTAACACTTTCACCGGCTAACCCATCAACAGCATCTCTAACAGGATCAAGGATGAAGGTGCAGACCTAACAAAGATGGTCTCCCCGACAAGATTACAAAGTACATATATACATCTAAGTATTTTTAAAACAGCAAAATTCACCAGTGTTGCAGGAAAGAAAAGCAGTTCCTCGCTTAAAAAATAAAAATAAAAAAATTCCCCTTTTTCTTCCAGTTCAACTTGCCCTGTTCATTTGTAGGAACACGCAGAGGATTAACTGTGAAAACAACCCCCGGCTCACTTCCCTCTGCCTGTCCGTGAAGGCTCACACAGAGGATTAGTCCTCAGAAATTTTCATCCCTAAACTTCTGGGCACTTGCCAACTGTCCTCCTGCCTCCTTCAAGGAGGCGCCTGAGGGCTTGGGAAAGGATTGAGGGAACAGTATACTTGGCCAAGAACTGGAATGCCAGGTGGGGCACGGGGGTGGGGCGATAAACACACCTGACACCTTACAACCTAAAGTCTAACCTGCCAGGTAAAAACAAGTAGCAGCCCACTGTACCAAGAGGTGCTTCTGTCCCCTGTCCCCTTTTACCATAAAGGTGACAGACAGAAGTCTCTGTATTTGACCTCCCACCCTCTCCCAGATATTATGATGTCAGGTTTTAGGCCGAAGCCGTGTTGCAAAGACAGCCATATGGTCCCAGCCAGGCTAGAGTCTTTGCTGCTTCTGTCTGGGTCAAGCTGCCACTCCTGGCAAATACTTCGATAGCAGCTTCTAGAAAACTGCCCAGGACGCCCTCCAGTTCAGGGTCACAGATCCTTCCAGTTGATGGGCTCCTTGCCAGACTTCCTCAGCAGCTCATTGGTCTTAGAGAAGTGTCTACATCCAAAGAACCCTCTGTACACCGACAACGGGGAGGGGTGCGCTGTCTGCAGCACGTGGTGCCGTTTCTGAAAGAGAGGGAGAAGAGTCACGGGCCGCACGTTTGGCCCCGTGCCCAGATCTTACGACCCCGCAATCTCACTGCTAAGAATGCAGTTGCTGAAGGGCCCATGATGTGTGTACCTATACGGAGACGCAGGCGTAAGGGGCTTTGTGGCAGCACGGCTTGGACCAGTAAAGCTTCATCTAAATCCAGGGTTACGCAACTGACTAAAAATAGTTTTCGGAACTTCTTACAATGGAACACCACAAGGCTACTAGAAGAATAAGGCTGAGCTACATATGCTGGTAAGGGAAAACCTAAATATATCAAGTGGAAGAAAAAAACGTAAGTGCCTAAGTTTTTCTGGAAAAAGACCCAAAACACTATTTATGGTAGTTCTGTGAGGAAATAGTGGAAGGCATTTACTTTCGGTTTTGCCCTGTTACCTGAATGGTCTACAAAAACAGAACACTGATTTTTTTAAATGTCAGCCGTACTTTCCGGAGCAGGAAGACTCTGGACCACGTTTGTTTTCTTCTTTTCTCTATTTAAATAAAAACCACCTCCCAACTAATTGTTTTCACAGCATCCCTGCCTTCGAAAAGCTCAGTCCAGGAGGGGCCATAACTACAGCAGGGCAGCCCAGTGTGGTGCAGAACCGGGAGCCTGGATCCACGTGGTCTGGGTCCGTTCTGACTCCGCCCCAGAGAAGTCAATGAATCCAGGCCGCGCGTCCTTCTGCGGCTGTGAAGGGGGTCTCACAGCGCCTAGCTTACGGAGATCCTGCGCAGCAACCAACCAACAATGCCCGTGTGTATTGTGAGAGTCTGAGAGGTGACATAAGTTGAGTGCTTACTAGCATGCCACCTGCCATGCAGTTCGGGCCCCTGAAAATGTAAGCCGTGCTGGGCTTGGAAGGTTGAGTGAGTCAGCCTCTGGAGAGGGGAGGCAGGATGTTCAAAGGCAGGCAGGGAAAGGGGAGGCAGGAAGAGGTGGAGGTGCTCCAGTCAGCCTGGAGCGGAGAGGGGAAAAGGGGAGCTGTGGCCGAGAGGCAGCTCCAGACCCCAGCCCGCCAGCCCAAGGCAGGGCCTTCCAGGCGGACCACACCTGACACTCCAGCAGGATCAGGTGACAACCTGAACCAAGGCTAAGGCGGCCGGCTGAGGAGGAGTCTGAGAGCAGGGGAAGGCTACGAAGGAATGCCCTGACAGGGTATGGGGCGGGGAGGGGCGAAGGGTGAGGAGCAGAGCCGGAGAAGGGAAAGAGGGGAGAGGAGGGAGGAAGGGGTCACAAATGCTATCCGATTTCTGGCTGGACAAGTGCGTGGTGGTACTCTCTCTCCCGGGGCATCCACAGGAGCCAGTGTGGCAAGGCTGGATGAGCAAAGGAGAACCTACCTTGGAAAGCGTGGAATCTGGTGTGCTGAGGGATCGTGGGTAAGGAGCCAGCTGAATACACAGACCTAGTGCTCGGGGAAAGCTACCCAGCTGGACATGCACCTGGCTTCTGATCATCACGCTACTCTCACAACTGTTTCCTGTCAAACCAGACCATCTTCAGTAATAAAAACTACACACACGCTGAGTAGGAGCTACGCAGACCACACAGAGATGGGAGAGCCTCCCATGGAGCGCTTGCTTACCTCCATGCTCCGACCTTGGCAGTTAGTTCATTCGTGCCAGATTTTACTCCTACTATTTCCTACCTCAAAACACCCGAAAACATCTTGTTCATCCACAAAGAAACCTTATAGACTCAACCTGCCTCACACACTCCACAGCTGTTCGCATCAAGACCCAGGAAGGCGACATCAGACTGTAAGCTAGCACCCGCCCGAGCTGGGGAAGCAACTTAAGAGGGGAGTCGGCTGGGAAACTGCTCGCTGCGTACCTTACTATCCTATTTCATTTTTTTTAATCATATAAACCTCTTACCTTAAAAAAAAACTTAGATGAAAACCAATTCCATTTAAGAGAAAATGGAGAAGTGGACAGACCTGGGAGCGGGTTGCCAGTGTGGAACACGAAAACACCCCCACCGGGCCCCTAGGTGAGCAAGGTGAGCAGGCTCCGATCTCCGCCCCGCCACTCACTGCAACTTTATCACTTTAATACCTTATGAGGCATTAAGCGAGATTCTGCAGGCAAAGCGCTAGGTGTGATGCCAGACGTGGGCCGGGGGATTCAGTCCACTCGGCCATCCCCGAAAGGCCAGCTACCTCCTGCTGTCACACAAGCTACTGTCAGTTGACCTCACCGAAGCCCTTTACTTCACTCACTGCAGTGCTTACTCGCTGACTTCTCCCCCACCCTCGCTTCTGGATCCGGTGTCTCCCAGCAGCCCGGGCCAGGGCTCACCCTGGATGCCTGCCTCCCCCCGCCCCACCTCTCTCCTCCACCATGCTGTCCTCCATCCACCCCTCAGCCCCGGGCTGTCAGAGCCTGGACAGAAGTGACAGTGGCTCACTCCAGTGTGAGGAGTGTCAACAGCGAGCAGCAGGACTGGGATATGCTCAGGAGGTAAGGGCAGAGGATTTGCTGGTGGAGTAGGTTTAAGGGAATGAGGGGAAGGCTTCAAGGATGGCTTCTGGTTTTCCATCTCAGCACCACGCACGTCAGTACTTCCCTATGTACCCAGAGAAGGAGCAGAGGAGCACGTGGGGGGTGGGGGGTCCTGGCCCTATTGGTCGCTTACTGCACCGTCTGTGTAGTGAGCGAAGGCCGTCATCATTCTACTTATGTGCCAAGTGTATGCCTACAGTACTATTACATCAGAAGTTGGCCCTTTGCTTTCTTCACACACAACTCATCATTCCTATAATTTGTCTGAATTTTGCTTAATTATAAGCCTTTAGGGAAAATAAATTTCACCCTGTGCCATGGGTTTTCCAGAACCACACGCAGGGATTCCTACTATTTTCTCAAGTGGTTTAAAATGTTTAAAAAACACAAGACAAAATCAGAGTGGGAGACAAACTATGAGACTCTTAATGTCAGGAAACAAACTGAGGGTGGCTGGAGGGGAGGGGGGTGGGGGGATGGGGTGGCTGGGGGATGGACACTGGGGAGGGTGTGTGCTATGGTGAGCACTGTGAACTGTGGAAGACCGATGAATCACAGACCTGTACCCCAGATACAAACATTATATGTTAAGAAAAAATATATATAATTAAAAAAAAAAACAGAAATAAAATGTTTAAAAACAAAACCACCATACCCTGTCGATGGCACTGCCTTTCTTCTGAGCATAAGAGCCCCAGAGCAAGAAGACAAGGCCATTGGAGTTCTGATTTAGCCAAGACACGACTGCATCAGTAAACTGCTCCCATCCTCTCTCCTTATGGGAATTAGCCTGATGTGCCCGGACCGTGAGCACAGCGTTGAGTAAGAGAACACCTACAGACACACACCAAAGAAACAGGTTGAGAGGCAAATGAGTCAAAAGAGAGAGACAGAGAGGAAGACACACGCACAGTGCAGCCCTCTGAAATGAGCTTCCAGAGAGCGCATCCCAACATGACTGGTGGGTGCCTCTGGGCAAGATCAGAGAGCACTGTACTTTCATCTCTGCAATTTCCTCATCTTCTGAGTTTGTATCAATGACTAGGCCTTACGTGTGTCATCAGAGTTGTTTTATTTATTTTTAAAGAAGTTTGTTTATTTGACAGAGAGAGAGAGCGAGAGAGAGCACAAGCAGGGGGAGTGGGAGAGGGAGAAGCAGGATCCCCGCTGAGCAGGGAGCCCGATGCGGGGCTCGATCCCAGGACCCTGGGATCATGACCTGAGCCGAAGGCAGTCGCTTAACCAACTGAGCCACCCTGGTGCCCCATCAGAGTTGTTTTAAAAATACATCCCAAGGGGCGCCTGGGTGGCCCAGTTGGTTAAGCATCCAACTCTTGATTTCGGCTCAGGTCATGATTTTGGAATTGTGAGAGTGAGCCCCCATGTCGGGCTCCGTGCTCAGTGGGGAGTCTGCTTGAGATCCTCTCTCTCTCAAAATAAAATCTTAAAAATATATATGTATATCCCATGTGACATTAAGTAACCCTAGAAGATAACAAAAGGAAACTAAAACATTTCACTAAAACAAAAATCCAACCATAAGAAACCAGACAGTCAACATTCTTTCCTTATCCTGGTTATATAGGTCATTTGTAGAGAGGAAGGGAGGGAGGGAGGGAGGGGGGGAGGGAGGAAAGGAAGACACACCTGTAAATAGGTATTAAACACAAAAAAACACAGCCCTAGTGTTGAAATGAGAAAGGTGAGGCCATCTCCTAAATGGTCAAAGTTAGCAGGTAAATTTAAAATATTAATAACAAAGGGCACCTGGCTGGCTAAGTCAGAGGAGCATGTGACTATTCACCTCAGACTTCAGGGTTGTGAGTTCAAGCCCCGTGTTGGGCGTAAATACTAAAGATAAATCAACTTAAAAATAAATAATATTGAGAAACAAATTTTTCTCTTTTGAATCATGATTAAAACATGAAAGAAAACATTGGCTAGAGGATAAAAAGGGGGATACATTTTTTTTTAAATTTCTATAAACGCAGCCATTTTATGTTGAGCGCTCTAGTTTTTCACGTTCTTTGATAAACATAAGCCAGCAGGACAGAAGAGAAGGGTGTTCTGAAATCCGTCCAAAGCACATCTAGGAATGGTTGGCTCACCTTGCTTGGCCCACCCGGATAAATCTCCGTGACCAGGATGAACGAAACCCTCTATGTCTGTAGACAGCTCTTTGTAAATGTTTTCCAAACTGAAAACAAACCGGAAGAAAAAGAATGGGATCTTGAGCACAATTCTGAAAATTCAGTAGCCTCCAACATAACTTGAGGACCACAGCCTGCACCTCCAGCCCTTGGAGGGGAGAGCGGCAAGAACCTCACAGATTTAGGAGGATGCACTGTCATGCCTTCTGATAGGAAACCTTGCCAAAGATCTTTACTTTGGTTTAGACTCAGATTTAAGGAATAGCGCGCTTTGGAAAATTTAGGTACATCAGCCCAGGAGTTACCACCTCTCAACTAATAATTATGGTTTGATATGTTTCTGTATTGGTTATATTCACATATGTTGTAAGATTCCCCGAAGCCGTGGTTTTTAACCAGGGGTGATTTTGCCCCCCAAGGAACTTCAGGCACGGTCTAAAGACATTCTTCATTGCCATTTTACTAGCGCTCTCTGTTTGGGGGGGGGCGGGGGGCGGCGGTGGTGTTGCTGCTGGCATCCAGTGGGTGAGGCCAGGCATGCTGCTCAGCATCCTACAGTGAGTGCACAGAACAAAACCTCTCCTGCACAAAGACCCAAGCCCTGATGTCAACAGTAACAAGATGGAGAAATCCTACTCCAAAGGCTACTGAAAGTCCCCCCAACAAGTGTACCTAGAGCCTGCAAAGTACACATCTGAAAGTAATCACACTGGGACCCGAGCCATCTGTCAAGCAATCGTACCTGGGTGGCGGTGGAACGGGTCTTTGAACACTAAAGCAGAGCCCATGGGCTTGGCTGGGTCCATGATACGGATCCTGTCCCAGGATGACAACCTTCACCTGTGAATACCAGGTGGCAAGAAATTAAATACTGTCTCACGAGCAGGTTAAACAAACACCCGGCTGATAACCTGTACAAAGGACCATGATGATGAGAAAGGCAGCCCCCCTCTCCCCGACCCAAACTAAGAACCCCAGGAAGGGAGTGGGTGACTGGGCCCCATTAATTTCCACTGTCAAGTTATCTTTCACTCCATCACCTGCTACACAGCCCTACTCCTTCTCTGATGCAGGTGTGTGAAAGTAAGTCCACCTCCTTCATTTTTCAGATTACAAAAATACACCCTCGCCCGAGTACAACAATCCAGAAACACGTCAAGTGGCTCGTTGTCTCCACTCATCCCTATCCCCTTCCTGATTCGACCCTGTAAAATTACCTATGTAACTGGGGTGATGGTACTCATCACCCTACATTTTTGTAGTTCTCACACATCATGCATTTTAGGCATCCTTCAATGCCCAGAGTTCTCACTGATAGCTAGTTGGCTTATTTCCTGGTTTTTTCCATCACAAAAAAACAATTCTATAAACACTCTAGTACATATTACCTTTACATCCTGTTGTTTTTATTTCTATGGAACAGACTCAAAATAGGAGGTGCTGGTCCAAGGACAAGTGTATCTTAAAATTTTCATAGACATGTACCAAACTGCTTTTTCAATGAGTTGAAGCTATTCAAATTCCCTACCAGCCACATAGGAAGATGCCTCTTCCCTCCACATCCTCTGAGGGATGAAACCAAAGAGAATGAGGTCAAAGGGCCATGGAGAAGGTGGCAACATGCAATGAAAGTAATGAGATCAGGGTCACTGGCAGTTTTAAGATACAGCTAGTCCTTCTGATCTGCTGCCTGCCTACCTCTTCATTCTCCTGCTTCTGTCCATGGTGTTCCTTCTCAGAATCCTCCCGTAGCCGACATATACTACATCCTTCCCAAAACCTAACCTTCAGACATCAGGAACCTTTTGTGGACCTCACTGTTGCTACCATTGGTGCTCACTCTTGAACGCAGGAGATTCTCCCTCATGAAGCAGCCTATCCCAGCAGGGCAGCTATTGGGTTCTGGTCCTGCATAAGGGATGACCTTGAAGGAGCTACTCCACCTCCCCGACCTTCCACATGCTTCTCTGTGAAGAGGCCTCGCTGGGCCATCTGATCCTCAGCACTTTCACGCTCTCCTATTCCTCCCTGTTGACACTGGTGATTGGTATTCAAAACAGGACCCACAGCTCAAACAAGGCACAAACTAATACCGAATTTATTTTTTTTTTAAAGATTTTATTTATTTATTCATGAAAGACAGAGAGAGAGAGAGAGAGAGAGAGAGAGAGAGAGAGAGAGAGAGAGAGAGGCAGAGGGATAAGCAGGCTCCCAAGGAGGAGGGAGCCCGACGCGGGACTCGATCCCAGGACCCTGGGACCATGACCTGAGCCGAAGGCAGACGCTCAACCATCTGAGCCACCCAGGCGCCCCTAATACCGAATTTAAAAGGACTTAAGTTTCTTTAACTTTATAAAACCAAGAGCTATATTCAAAGCTCTTGCTCGAAAGTGAAAAATGGTCAAGTCTGCAAAGTATTAGGTGTGGCGGCTTTATCCACGTGGGTCATTCACCTATTTCACTTCAATTTGGTGTAACAGACATAGTACAAAATCATAGGATTCCTGCCCTCGGCTTTACAACATGAGGGAGGGAAAGGGAGAAGAATAAAATATGAGATCTCCGGCGTAAGCAGAAACCAAATGTACCGGGCAGGAAAACCAGATCAGAAAGGTAGTGGGCAACACGCCTCAAGGGAGGTGCCATAGATAGATCTAGTTGGCTTTTCAACAGACAGAAGAGTTGTCACACTATCCAGCTGTGAAGAAGGAAGAGTTGGAGATGGAGGGAAGGCCGGAAAGTCTACCATGGCTATTTTCATGTTCAGCTTCTATCGTTCACACAGTGAGCGTAAAGCCAGAAACAAGCTTCTGAGCAGGAGACTGAAGTGACCAGACCAGCCAGCAGCCGGTATATAGAATGAACGGGCGCAAAGGGATGCTAACAGGATAGTAAAACTGTTTGGGCCAGAAGTCAAGAGCTTGAAAGCGTCAACTATAAGACAGAATACGGAGCTGCAAGTTAAGGTGAGGGGTGGACTAACCAGTTGCAAAAGACTTCAGTGCTTCATGCCTGTTTCCTCAACATCACCACAAAAAGACCTAACGTTGGTATGCCGTTGGTTTCAGGATTAAATAAAATGCAAAAAACTTGAGTATATAGACACAGGTCTATGTACAGATATTTTCTTTCTTGCTGCATTGCCAGCACATGCTTCAAGTGAGAAAGCTAACAGGCTAAAACATAGCCCGCCAAACTTCACAATTTCATTATTTTATTTATTACTCCGCCACGGACAGGCACTTGCCTGCAGCGTCCGTAACTAACGGGTACATTACTATTTGACTCCCATACCTCTTTTTACTAAAACTCACCACCAACCTGTACTTACATGTCTTATGTCACACATCTGGGTCCACGTGAAGACTTGGTGTGGGGGTGGATAAACAGTGTAATGTTTTCTTTCTTCCGCGACAAATCCCATTAGCTGACGTAAAGACAAATCAGATTTCAAATCAGATTCTCACCGCCAAGTGTTAAGAATCCAATAAGGAAGCTAACAGTGGAAGCTAACCGGAGCATTATCTGGCTCTCCGCCACGTTGTACATCCAAATTCTCTTGAGAAATAAAAACCAGACTTGCAGGTCACCAAAGATGTCCCTCCGCTTCGGTGCCCTTCCCCTTTGTTTGGACCGGGTCTACGTTGATTGGTCTCGCTGCTTTCACTTCCTATTGGGTGACAGGCCCTCCCTCTTTTTGTAAAGGCTGCACCAGGTTTCAAGCAGTCCGGTTTGCGGTTTTACTGTGCCGCCCTTTCCTGGAGAGCAGACCCGCCGAATGGTTTACAAAAAGCCATGCCATCTTACAGTCTTTTAAAAAACTTCAATAAAGCGTACGAACGCCAAACACCGTGGCTGTTATTTTACCTACCTCTTACCGGGAAAAGGACTTAAGAGAGGGAATACAGGAGCCTACAAACGTGGACTCTCCGCAAAATATCCTAGCAAGACCGAAGGGCCCGCAGCCTCCAGGTTTACCTTGATGAAATACGGTTTCCCGAACTCTGCGCTGAGCGGCTTCTTCCAACTCTCACCGAAACCCACCGGCACGTTGCGCGCAGCGAGTCTGAGCAGGGCGGCGGCCTTGTTTTTCTGGATGCGGATCAACTGCTCGGGGCTCAGCGGAGAGGAGGGCGGCGTGCCGGGGTCCTCCTGCCCGGCCCGGGCCTTCTTGGGGGGGCTGACCTGCAAGTGGTCCCCGAACAGGCGGGTCAGGCGCTGCAGCGGGCAGGGCCCAGGCGCCCGCAGCTGCCGCCCCCAGCCCCACGGCCCATTGCGGAGCACGCCCATTCGCGGGGCTGCAGCCTCCACGCGGCAAGTCGCAGCAAAAGCGGACTCTGGGAGTCAGGTCCGGGAAGGCACCGCTGCCCCCAGTCTTGAATTTGGTACTAAGTTGCAGCAGGGAGAGCGGCGGTGAGCAAGGCCCGCGACGTCTCCCGCGGCGTTGGCGGGAAGGGAGGTCCTGACCCCGTCGCCCCGCCCCCCCGCGTTCCCACGTGGTCTTTTCGCGGCAAAAACCTCCCGGGGTGAGTCCCGCCTCCCTCCCCTCTGATTGGACGGCGGGCCGAGCAGGGCGGCCCCCTCGCCTCTGATTGGCGCCGTGGGCCCCGAGGTCCATCTCCATTGGCTGGCCCCTCAGAATGGCCGCCGACAGGGAACGGCACCGGCTGTTTTGAACACGTGCAGTCCGCTTTTGAACGCAGGGACCCAGCTTACCGAGTCGGTGGCGCGTCCCTGCAACCCCTCGGCCGAGCGGGGCCCGTCGCCCTCCTCCCCGTCCCTTGCCCCCCGTGCCCGGTCCCCGCCGCGCCTCACCGCCGCATCCCCGCTCTCCTCAGCTACCAATGCCACGCCGGTCCCCGGGTCGGCCGGCTCGGGACTGCGGGCACGTCGCCTCCCGGCGGGGCTCGGGGAGAAGAAGGAGTAGAGGGTCTTCTGGCCGATCATCCCGGAGCCGAGGAGAGGGGACGCGCGCCGCCCGGAGAACCCGCGGTAATGCGCCAGCTGCAGCGGTCCGAAATTGGCGCCAAACGGCCCGCGCATGCTCCGACCGGGGGTGGGCGGGGGGCTGGGGGTGGTGGGGGGCGGCGGGGGCCCTAGTGCGCATGTGCCGGAGGGGCTGCGCGGGACGCCTCTGGGACCAGGTGGGGCTTGGAAGCCTCAGGTGGTAGGCGGGGTCTTTGGGTGCGTTAGCTCCTGCGCTTACTCTTTCATTCATTGTACTAAGTCATCACACCCCTGCCTTGGGGCCCGTCCCTCCACCTCTACCGCGGGTGAAAAAGAGAAAAAAGTACCTACCCGAGGGGTTGTTGTGGGAGTGAAATTAGCATTGGGAGTGAAATTAGCATTAAAACAGTCGTTTGTTTTGCTCTCATCCAGTTTCACAACCTATTTTACTGGCCGTAAACTAGCGCCAAGTGCGGTCCTGCGTTTTGCCTAAACTGTAAGGTCTGGGGGAGACTTTAACTGAGGTCCTGAAGATTAAACTCCAAAGTCTGCATCCTCTTCAAGGCACCCCCGCAAGCCCCGTGCACCTGCCATCCTTCTTGTTCCCGCGTTCGTTCCCTCCCCACATCCAAACCGACAGTGGGTCCTCTGGGTTCTATCTGCAAAATAAATCCCGGATTCAACTGCTGCTCTTCATCACCTGGCTACAATCCCCGGCGGCTCTCCTCTTAGGAGAGTGATCCTTTTGAAATGTAAATTACATCATGGTAATCCCCAGGTAAAAATCCTCCCTGCAGTTTCCAAGTTTTAGAATAAACCCCAGCTTCTTACCCCGCCGGCAGAGCTGTGTCCCTGTAACCCAAGCCCTTACTCCTGTGAGGTGACAGCCAGCTTATCCCTTGTGTGGCCTGTACTCTCTTGCACACACTGTCCCCTACCTGGTAAGCTTTGGGTCTCAACTCAGGTCCCTTCCTCTGAAAGGCCTTCTCCTGCCCGCCCCCCGTTCTAGCTATTGTGTGACCAACACAATAGCTTCTGTACTATCTTAAATTATCTTATGCATTCTTGGCTTGTTTGTCTCCCATCTCCAAAAATTTAACCCTGCTGAGGGCAGATGAGGTGGGAAACAAAGGCAGAAGGAAACATAGATAAAATTAAATGTCCTTATAACCTGCAGCCCACTGACAAATACTTGAGGCTGGCAGAGTATAATGTTCCTCCCAGAAGCTCCAAACGGTCTTTGTTAATGCCTGCCTTGTTAGAGGGAAAAGCAACCTTAGTCTGACAGTGGCAAGGCCTCCGGTATCCTATGAGTCCTCTTTAGCATATGAAAATCCTTTTGGAACTCCCCTGATCTTTTCTTCCCGCAACCCCAAAGTATATAGTCAGTTGCTCCTCATGGTCCCGGGGCAGTGGGGACCAGAAGGCATTAGCAGCTCATCCTGCCCATGGGTCCCGTCCCCATGCCTTAATAAAACCACCATTTTGCACCCAACACATCTCAAGAATCCTTTCTTGGCCATCAGCTCTGGACCCCACCGAACCTCACCTGTATTCCAAAAACTACATCACAGGGACTTTATCCTTATTATGGTCGTGTTCCAGCGCCTAGGGCAAGGAGCCTGGTGTGTCAGGGCAGAAGCTCATAACTCAAAATCACGTGCCCTTACAGCCACTTCGAAATACATCTCAGTTTGGGTACAAAGTGAAACATGACACCATGTACTCCTGTAATCCCACTCCTAGGTGCAATTAAAATCTGCATTCACAGCAAAGCTTACACCGGAGTGGATATAGTAACTTCATTTGTAATTGCCCCAAGCTGGAAACAACTCAAAGGTCCCTCGACGGAGGGGGGCGGTGGGGGGCTGTTCGGTGAGTGGGTAAACAAGCCGTGGAGCATCTGTACAACAGAATGCTGCCGAGCAATAAAACAACCGATACAAACAAGGGTATAGCTTCAAAGCATTAAGCTGAACGAAAGGCCAGACATCAAAGGCTATCAGTTGTATGATTTCATTCATAAGAAATTCTGGAAAAGGGGCGCCTGGGTGGCTCAGTAGGTTAAGTGTCTGCCTTCCGCTGGGGTCGTGATCCTGGGGTCCTGGGATCGAGCTCCACATCCGGCTCCTTGCTCAGCGGAAAGCCTGCTTCTCCCTCTGCTGCTCCCCCTGCTTGTGCTCTCTCTCTCTGAAATAAATAAAATCTTTAAAGAAAATTCTGGAGGGCGCCTGCGTGGCTCAGTTGATTAAGCGACTGCCTTCCGCTCAGGTCATGATCCTGGAGTCCCTGGATCGAGTCCCGCATGGGGCTCCCTGCTCGGCAGGGAGTCTGCTTCTCCCTCTGACCCTCTCCCCTCTCATGTGCTCTCTCTCTCTCTCTCATTCTCTGTGTCTCAAATAAATAAATAAAATCTTTAAAAAGAAATAAAAAAATAAAAAAAATTCTGGAAAAGACGGAACTATAGGGACAGGAAACTGCTCAGTGGTGGCCAGGGGCTCGGGGGTTAGCATCGGGCGAGGGCGAGTTTCTAACTAAAAGGCTTGGGGGAATTTTGTGGGGTGACAGAACCACCCCGGATCATGATCGTGGTGGTGGTCACACAGCTGTGTACTTCTGTCAAAATCTGCAGAACCGCGCACTAAGAAGATTAAAAACAAAGGCCCCGAATCCCACGGAGCTTTCATTGCACTGGGGGAGACAGAGATTCAACAAAAATGAAGAGCAGTAACAGAACCTGACATTTATTTGGAGCACGGAAGCATTCCTGGCCCATCCTGTCATTTAATCCTCACAGTGCTCTCACCGCGGAGGTTTTATAGCCCCCACTGTGCAGGGGAAGCTATTCAAGCCCAGGGACGGTAAGCGACCTGCAAGAACCACACAGCCCGAGGGGTGGAGACGAATACAGAAGCCATGGGGTCGAGCTCCCACCGGGTGGCCCACCTCCCCAGGGAGTAAGTGGCTAGGCGGAAAACCTGCAGTGCCTGCAGCGCGCCCAGGAGACCAACGGGTGGCACCAGGGAGCCGCTCACCTCACTGTTTCGCCGAGGTGCCTACATTTCCCAGCGGGCCCCCGAAATCCACCCGGAAGTGACGCTGCGGCCCCCGTGTTGCCTCTTTCCCGCCAGCCCCGCCTCCGGTGTTTGTCGGGCTCGGGGCGGCGCGGCCGCTGTCTGCGGTGTCAAAGAGAGATCCCGCCCCCTGCTCGGTGTCACAATCCTTATTTTCTATCGGAGTTCGGCGTGCGTGTGACCACGTGTAACTGTTTTGGGATCAGATTCTGAATCCTAGCCGTTCCAGGATCACTATACTTACCTAAGGGGATACTGGCGTGGGAGGGCCGGTCAGTAGTCGGGGGAAAGGAGACCGGGAATCTGCTTCTCTGGGTGACTTTAGGCAAACCCCTTCCCTTGTCCAGGCGTGCCAGGGTGGGCTTTCTTGAAAAGGTCAGGTGCTTGGTCGGTGGAATGCAGGCAGTTGGGGTTTTGCAAGCCAGCCAGCTGACTGTGATGCATAGCCAGGTGTGGGGGACCCAGGACATGCTGAGCGACCCTTCCAACTTCAACATCCTCTACTTCCTTTCTAGGACATGGTGTTAAAAGTGGGAACTTGAAAACACCGAGAAGTTCTGTGGGCCCACTTGGCCACCAAGCCAATTTTTTGCATCTGGGACAGAGCCTGGGCAATCTCTCTCTGCCTTGCTGCCGACTCCCAGGCCTTTGCTTTAGGGAGACAGAATGGACAGGTTCCTGGTGAAGGGGGCTTTAGGGGGCCTTTTGGGAAAGAGGGAGCGAGAGGTGAGTGGAGAAGGCCCGGCAGGGCTGAGAGGAGAGGAGGAGAGCAGCAGGAAGAGGCCCAGGGCAGAAACCCCAGGGAATGCAGGCCCCAGCTGGCGGCACATCCGAGCCGAGGGCCTGAGCTGTGATTACACAGTCCTGTTTGGCAAAGCCGAAGCGGACAAGATTTTCCAGGAGCTGGAGCAAGGAGTGGAGTATTTTACAGGTAAGCTGAGGACTTCGGGGTGTGTGCTGAAGACTTGTTTGATAAAACTAGTGCTCTGTGTTTGGGGAAATCTGAACCGGTGACTTCATTAACTGATTCAACACATACTCTCTGGGCATTTGTGGGCCGAGCACCATGTTGAGTGCCTGGGATACAAACTGGAGAAAAGTTTGCCTGCCCACCAGGAGCTGACAGACTTGGGAGTGATTTGCCACCTGGCTGCTGATTAGAATCAGCTGGGAAAGGTAAAAAACAAAAGGGATGCTGGGTTCTACCCGAGAATCGGAGTAGCTGGGGAGGGGGGTGTGCAGCCTGGGCGAGATCAGCTGCATAGGAGTAGCTGGGCGGGTGCGGCCTGGGTGGCAGTGTTTTTAGAAAGCCTCCAGCTGACTCTAAAGTGCAGCTGGTCTAGTAGGAGAGACAGCAAATGACCAGGTAATTGCCCCACAGCGGGGGTTCTCGGCATCATGGCGGGGCGGGGGGGGGGCTTTGTCGCTTCCGAGAACTGACATCACTGGAGCCCTCCCCCACAGTGTAGCGGCTGTTTCCAGGGCCTGCTGATGCTGTTGGTCCGGGAGCACACACTGAGAATGCCTACAAGGTGGCAGTGCACGTGGAGGCAGAGAGAAGCCCACGGGAGACCCCAGCCCACCGCCTTAACTGCATTGGCTTCATCTCTCTTAGGGGCCCCACACCCTTAGTCCGCACGGTTGGCAAAATCACCATTGCGTGTAGCCTGACTTCAGCTTGCTTGCATTTCAGCCTCTTATTATGCTTCTACTGGCGTTTAGGCAATTAAAGCATAGTGTTAAAAAAAAAAAAATTGGACGAGAGCGTCTTTCTCTAAGTGTAGGACAAGAACCACTGTTCTTACGTGAACATTTTGGGCAAGGCACAGTGATTTCTCTCCCTGGTCAGGAAGTGAAATGTTACTCCTGTTTCAGTTCCCTTTCAATCCTGAATCCTCAGGGAGCAAGCGTGCGGGCTACTCGCCTGCCTGCTCTTCTGAGCTGCCGTGTTTTATCTGCGCAGGTGCGCTGGCCAGGGTCCAGGTGTTCGGGAAGTGGCACAGTGTGCCCAGGAAGCAAGCGACCTATGGCAACGTGGGGCTGACCTACACGTTCTCGGGCCTCACTCTGTCTCCAAAGCCCTGGATCCCAGTTCTAGAGCACGTCCGGGATCGTGTTTCTATGGTGACAGGAGAGACCTTCAACTTTGTGCTTGTCAACAGGTGACACTCTACCTGGTTTTTTCCTTTTCAGGCTACTGGACTGAATTGTATAAATCTGCTTCTTCCGAAGGCAGGAATTTAGGATTCCATCATTTTTTTTTTTTTAAGTTAAATTCAGTTAGCTAACAGAGTAAGTACATCCTTAGTTGCAGATGTAGGGTTCAGTGATTCATCAGTTGCATATAACACCCAGTGCTCATCACATCATGTGCCCCGCTTAATGCCCATCACCCGGTTGCCCCATCCCCCCCCTCCAGCAGCCCTCAGTTTGTTCCCTAAAGATAAGATCCACCATATTTTATTCATTTGTACAACAAATCCCTTAGTGCAGCAGGGATGTGGCCTGGGGAGCATCAGCAGTTGGTCCTTGTGGAGGCCACGCCGCAGAGGAAGTGAGAGGTGCTTCTCTCATGAACAAACCGTTGAACAAGATCATTTCAGATGCTGATAAGTGTCTTAAAGAAAATTAAACAGGCTGATATTGCTAAGAATGGCTAGGAGAAAGGGGTCTGGGTTGAGGGCAGGGTTTCGCACCAGCAACGCTCTGACATTTTGGGCCGGATACTTCTGTTGTCAGGGCTGCCGTGTGCTTTGCAGGATGTGAGCAGCCTCCCTGGCTTCCACCCCTTGGATGCCAGGAGCATCCCCTCCCCAGTCACAGCCACCAGAATGTCTCCAGACACTGCCGAGCGTCCCTTGGGGGACAGAACCGCCCTGCTTACCAACCCTGAGTTTAGGGGAAGGTGGTTAGCGGAGGGCTCCCTGAGGTGCTGAGACTACATGGAATGAGGGAGCAAGCCACACAGACATCCTGAGGAAGAGCAGAGGGGGCTTGGAGTGTGTAAGGAGCGGAAATCCCACTGATAACTGCTGGAGCAGCAAACGAGGGGAGGGAGACAGGGCTATTATGAGCTCAGAGACGGGCAGGGGCCAAACTGGCAAGGAGTCAGGGTTTTTTATTCTTAAGTGGGGGAGAAACCATTTGAAGGTTTACATACATGGACTGGGAAAACCCCAAGACGAGTTTTTGGCTGCTTTTGGTGAGTTACATTTTAAAGCACATGATCAAACAGGACAAGATCGAGTGGAAGTGCTTCAGGCTTGGCTCATCTGTAGACCCAGATGAGGCCCTCCAGCCCCCACAGACCCACAGCAGGGGCTGCTCGTGGCACCTGTCACGCTGGGGGGAAATGAGGATTCTGCCCTGTTGGCGGGTCCCAGGAGAGGGCTGTTTTGTAAACAGGGCTTGTGTTCTCATTGCAGGTATAAAGACGGCTGTGACCACATCGGTGAGCACCGAGATGATGAACGAGAACTGGCTCCCGGGAGCCCCATAGCTTCTGTCTCCTTTGGGGCCTGCAGAGACTTCTTCTTCCGGCATAAGGACTCTCGGGGGAAAAAGCCCACCCGGAAGGTGGAGGTGGTCAGGCTTCAGCTGGCCCACGGAAGTTTGCTTATGATGAACCACCCGACCAACACTTACTGGTACCACAGTCTCCCCGTACGAAAGAAGATTCTAGCTCCACGGGTCAATCTGACATTTCGCAAAATTCTGCCCACTAAAAAGTAAAAACTTTGTCGGTGGTTTGTACTTCTCTTTTCTCCTTCCCTCTCTACTCCAAGAGGGAGCTGGCTTCTCTTTTCCCAACAGGGAACATAGGAAAGGCTGCATCCAAGCATGGGGCTTATTACCTAACAATGCAGAATTCAGAAAGAGGATGGTTGTTATCAAGTTGGTCAATTATGAAAGAATACCAGTTGGGTTTTTTTTTCCTAACAAAAAGATTCTTTTATTACTATAATACACAGCAGATACAAAAGGTACCTTTAGCAAATACATAAATCAGAAGTTATTATGGCATAAACTACTAGTTTAACTTAGGTTTTTGCCCAGAGAAGCTGCTCTGTAAATAACTTAAAGCTAGAAAGATGAGGTGGCTGCTACTTAATGCCTAATAATTTACAAAATGAAGAAGTCAGCTTTGAGTCTGGGTCAGAGACCGTGCATGTCCACCCCGGCCTCTGACCCGCCATCCACTTACAGCTGAACGTTCCGGGCCCAGCATCTCTTTAACAGCAGATTTCAAAGGGAAAACGGCGGCAGAAGAGCAGTTACTGAAAGCTACAGTTTTGCAGCGCGGTGTAAGGGTCACATCACCGGGTGTTTGTCCCCCGGACTCAGGCAAAACAGCTGTACTTGAGGCAACATCAAAGCCAGGGCCTACGACGGAACCGGGAAGGACGCTTCACGCTGGTCTTCTCTCCCGGATGTCCGGGGCCCGGAGAACCTTCCACAGTATGTTCAGTCGGTCGAGAGCTGTGAGTCGTCGGGGTGCGTGCTGGGCCCGGCAGGACAGCGATCACCCGGGCCCCTTGCGCTCTTCGCGGACACCCAGGCCTGGTCTAGCAGTGTCTGCCAGCCCACCCCCACCAGGGGAAGCCCAGGTCTCAGCCTCTCAGCCTCACCTCGGGTGACCTTTTAGAAAGTTCGAATTCCAAATCGTAACTCTAAAGAGTCCGTTTGAATTTTTTTTTTTTTTTAATAAAAAACCTAGCTAGAACATAGATACCACTGTGTCCTCAAACTTCCTGTGGTGCTGGGCTGCATCCATGAGCCTTCTCCCAAGAGGGAAGAGAATGCCCAGTACAGTCTTTGTACAATTAATGTAGAGTACGGACCTATAACAAAATGACAGGACTAGATGATCAGCTGTAAGAATACGTTTTTTACAAACTGAAAACTTTCTACTCTTTTGTGGAAAGGGCTGGGGTTTGGATGCTCGCTGAGACTAAGCCTTCCCTTGCCAAACGAGGAAGCCTGACTGTGGCCCTGCGGTCAGTGCCCTTCCAGCCCCCAGCTACACCTGTAAACCTCAGGAGCGCTGCAGGGGCAAGAGTTAGAAATAACCGTCCACGGGGGGGAGGCGGTGTAAAAACAGGCTTTGTCCAGAGCAGAGGAGGTGCAGACGCTGCCCTGTGCCCACTGTTCACACAGTTTGATGACAGACCATCGTCACGTCTCCCGTCCAGTGTGCCAACAGTTAAGAGCAAGCGGGAAGCAGCTCACAGCTGACAGAGCAGCAGAAGAATTACCCCCCCCGGGGGGGGGCAGATTTGGCAGGTGCACTTTGATGACAGAAAGAATCCAAAGACTAGAAAAGACCCACAAAAAGAGAAGGCAGGTGTTCTTCAGGCGTCTTTTAGGCGTCCTGTTGCTCTCCGCGGAGAAACTTGGAAGGAGCAGAGCTTTTCTCAAAAGTCGTTCAGAGGACTCTTAGACAATGTGTGTTTTCCAGAACGGACGTGCTACAAAAGCAATCGAAAGTGAAAGGCACTTTTTCTTCTAAATTGTTGCCTTTAATAATTTCACCAATTTTTTGGGCCTGCTTATTAAAAATAAAAGATCTATGCTGAAACCGATTGGAGGATTAGACAAAGTTACCTCCCCTCTGAGAACACCTAACATAGCCGAATATAAAAAAGGTGGCTTCCGGAACTGGGTTTCTTTTAATTACCTGTATCAGGTGAGTAAAAAGACGTTCTAGACAGACTGACTCCTGTCGGAGCTCAGTGAGGACACCACCCAGCGCACGCTCACAGAGCTGTTCAGGGGGCCAGATTTGGTTTGAACTGGGGGCCAGCGGCTCCTGCAAGGAGCCTGCTCTGAGAACACACCAGAAGGCTGAGGACTCTAGCGGGGCCACCTGCGCACGCACACACAGCCAGATCTTGCCTGGTTCCTGGCCTGCGGGGACAGTGCCATCGGCTCTGGGGCAGGGCCGTCATTCTTCGGACCTGTACTCCCGGCCCTGGGGCTGCATCTTGGAAAGAACACGCTCGTAAAACAGCAGGTAGGCGCTGGAGGACAGGACCTCCTGCAGGCTGGCCTTGCGGACCGTGTCGTCAGAGATCCACAGCCACTGGTTGCTGGTTGAAAGAGGGTTCTTGGCTGACGGCGGGGACCGTCGGTAAGTCACAAAGTGTCCCGAGTGCATGTCTCCGTGGTGGACCACAACTGCCATTAGCCGGAAGAGGTACATGGAGGAGCTGAATGGGAGGAACACATGCAAGCCGTTTACAGATACAAAAAAGAAGGGCCATGGGCAAAACCAAAAAGTGAAAGAATCCTAGCTGTTCGGTGATGGGGGACTGACACAGGGTACCTCCATACAAGTGAACACTACACGACCCTTAAAACGCAGACTGATGCATTCCCACATGTATACACAGAACACATACATTTAAATTTTATGTTCTTCTAGAATTCTTATTTTTGAAGTGCTTTCCAGTTGGGACAAAAATAAATGGGAATGTGTAATGGTGAAATTACACCTGAAGATGAAAGAAAAATGTCTGCATTGTCATCCGTTTCTGTGCACAGCTAATTCTGGAAACCAAGAGAACCAGCAGCTATGAGAAATGAAGACTGTGCTTCTCCGGGGTGGCTCACCTGTAGTCAGGAACCACCGGGAGCGGGAAGGGCATCGGGCCTGGCAGGGGGGGCAATAAAGATGGGGAGCAGGCGCCATTCATAAAAATGTGTGTTTTCGGGCCCCCGGGCTGACCCAGAACTGAAAGAGAAAAAGGCCCAAGGCAATTACCGCAGCAGTGGTTGTGGGAGAACACACCGCGGCCTCCATTACCTTGAGTTTAACTCCCCAACAATGCTGCAAAGAGAAAAACGTTCATTTTGTGTTAGGTTGACTCCTACCTTTTTGTCCTTTTTTCCCAGATTTTATTTATTTATTTGAGAGAGAGAGAGGGAACAGGGGGAGAGGCAGAAGCAGGCTCCCCACTGAGCAGGGAGCCCAATGTGGGGCTCGATCCCAGGACCCTGGGATCATGACCTGAGCCGAAGGCAGACGCTTAACGACTGAGCCACCCAGGCGCCCCTCCTTTTTGTCCTTGACTTTCTTAATCTCGAGTAGGAAAAGTGGGTCTAACTCCTGGTCTGCTGCTCACTTGGACAGCTTTGTGGATCTTGAAGCCCCTGTCCCTGTTTGCTAAAGATGCGCCGGAGTTAAGCTGCAGCTAATTTCCTGGCATTTCAACCTAAACCAAGGTTTCTCAACGCTGATGCTACTGACACGTGGGCTGGGTTAATTCTTGGTTGTGGGGCTGTCCTGGGCATCGTAGGAGGTTTCACAGCATCCCTGGCCTCTAACACCCGTCTCCTGGTTGCGACAGCCAAAAATGCCATCAGCCACTGCCCTATGTCTCCTGGGGGACAAAACTCCCTGATGAGAACCACGGACCTCAACATTCTCTATTCTTTAACTGCCAGCTTCTAAAGAATACCAACATGTAACCATGTTGCCAAATGTTGATGGGTGTAGATAAAATAACGAAGGAGATCTTGACCTCTCTTGCCCTTTCCAGTGCCCTGTGCGGGGCCCTTTAAGTACCCAGCAGGTCCCCGTGGGCCGTACAGCAGCCACAACGAGCACCCCGCGACAATGAGCAGACCCGCATCCCCGGCCGGGGGAGCAGGGATCCAGGGTGAGGCGGTCCAGAGACGGGGCCCTCTTCCCACCACGGCTGCTCTGACATTCGTCTACTGATCCGCTGAACAAAGGCAAAATACAGTCTCCCTGTGAATGGGGTCCTGCCAGGCCACACAACCGTGGAAGCGAGAAAGAGTAAAAGCAGCAAGGGACGCTAAGCAGGAGCATCCGGGGTGCGGGGAAGCCAGGCCTCTGGCTTGACTGGGAGCAGGTGCGAGCGGGGAGTCTGGGCTCGGAGCCCTCAGAGTCGGTGGGTTTTCCTGGTCTATGTAATTCTAAAGAACTCAAAGAGTTAGAAAAGATAGCTTTTAAAAACTGCCCAACGCTGCGTTCTGGTGCCCGTCCTCCCAGTGGACTGATGTTTGCTCTGTGACTAGTCATTTCACCTCCTGGGGCCTTGATTTTCCCCTCAGCCAAGACTGGGGGCAGTAAGAGCTCCCTGCTCCCGGGGGGGCCCGACTCGGTAATTAGTCTCAAGTGAGGACAGCAGTGGAGATAGATCAGTAAGGAACTCAGTAACGAAGACGTGATCTTTAGCCAGAACTTTTCCTGCCCACATCTGTATAAACGACATGACCCTACTGGGTGGGGTGGGGGAAGAAATTCACTGGATATGCTAGGGGCCAATTACCATTCTGTCAGCAATCTTAAGTTTTTCTTCCCCTATTTTTTCAACTGTGATGCCGTTTTTAAAACCATACACCTTGTTACTATATAAGTTTAACCTCTTTTAAGGAATCTTCCCTCCCGTACCCCCAGTCCTGCTATTCTCAAGAACTTAAGCAACCGCTGGACTAGCTCCCCTCGTGGCGTAAGGGCCCCAGAAGGTGGTGACACCAAATTCCTTTTCCCTGTGCCGTAAGTTCCGTGCGTTAGCCCCGTGGGCACACACCTGATCTGGGGGCGGCCGGCCCGTCCTGAAGGTCCAGGGTGGGCCCCGCGGTCTCGCTGGGCTTGGGGCTGTGCTGACCAGGTCTGTGCCCGAGGAGGTGATACTTATAGATGTCCATCATCAGGAACTCGTTGAACTGCACGTGCTCATGCCGCTTCAGGGGTGTGCCGTGGCTGGACCAGCTCAGCCGCTGCAGGTGGATGCACAGACACTGAGGGAGCTGCAGGGACAAGAGAGAAACCGGACGCGGCTGAGTGTTGGGGGTGGGACACAGGGGTCCCTGAGGGCAAAGCCGACAAGGCGTGTGGAGTGGGCTCACCTTGCCTAGTTTCAGCTGTTTAACAAAGGTGGTCCTCTGGTGTTCCACTTTCTCCCCATTCAACGTCCCTCTGGCTTCGATCTGAAATAAGAGAAAGATCGCTCTGCAGAATTTCTTGAAATGATACATCTGGGGAGGGCCACAGCCAGGCTGGTGTTACACCTGTATTCAGTTGGCACCTGACTTTGACCTGCGAAAGGAGCTCAGCTGCCCAGTTAATCGTGAGTCGTTCTCACTGGTTTAGTCGTTAAGTAACAGTGACAGTGGGGACAAGAGAAATGACAGCGCAGTGCAGGAACTCTGCTGTGGCGCATCATCTATTCTGTTCTGTGTCCTCAGAAATTCTGCCCACGGCTCCTCTTCAGAGGATGACACACAAACGCTCAGAGGAGTCAGGCAGGTGACTGTCGGTCGGGAGGCGGCAGGGGGAGGGAGGTCCTGTCTCACAGCACAGCACTCAGGGTTTTCCTTTAACTATTCTGCAGATGAAGTGAACTCATCTGGGGAAGAGCTACCAACTTCCTAGCCAAGTTACGTGGCTGTGGCCGAAAAGCCGCCTGGGTATAGTCAGAGGAGCTCAGGCCAGTGGTGAGCGGTGGTGGGAGAGGTGCTGCATCAGGACACACAGGCCAGCTAGGGGGTGACACCAGGCGTTAGAGGCTTACCTGCGTACAGTTGTCACATACGACGTCCCGCACAGATTCGGATGAGATAAAGTGGTGAAGGCAGTGGTCCAGGGTCAGCGGATGCCCCTTTAGCACCAGAAAACAAAATGCATGATTACAATTCAGTTACAATGAAACTATTAACAGAAGGCAATGTGATCCCAGAGCTTTATTTTTGCTTATATGGGCAATAAAGCTTCACAGATGCAACTGGACGGTCCCTGAGCAAACGTGGAGCTCAAAGCATCCTAGGCTTGCTATTATGGGCGGATTCAAGGCTAGGAGGACGTACGTAACACTGCAGAAACTTATGGACTCCCACACTGTTTTAGAGATCTTTGAATTTGAGATTAATACGTGTGTGTGTGTTGAAAAACGCCGAAATTCCTGCAGCCAGAGAAAAACCATCCGCTTTCTTCTCCCCCCAGATCAGGCCATGGTACCACACGTGACAACCAAGACGGGTTCAGCCAACCATGTGTCTGAGTAACGCATAGTACCTTGGCTACACAACATGTCTCAAAGCCCGTTCGGATTTGAATGTCTCCAAAACGGACCCCAAATAAACCATCGCTCGGTACATACCCACGTGGCAGCTGGAATACTCAGTGAAAGGCTGTCGAAAGTGTCAAATCGAACAGGACTCTGAAACAAACATTGCAGAAAATCCAGAAAGGACATAGGTTCAAGTCAGAGCTTTAGACATGGGAAGACACATGCCTATGAAACAGTGTAATATATAGATGCCCAACACTGACATAATGAAAGATGGTGTACTTACCTAGAAGCAAATTCTATTACAAACAACCTTGTCAATGTAAGAGGTACAGTGATACTGAAGGAGAGCTTATAAGATAACTTTAAGAGAACATACCTGACCCAGCAATGTAGGAATTTTATCTTCAGGAAATAACCATGGACAAAACTATAAGGATGTTCATCCTGGCATTATTTATAACAGCAAAATATGAATAGTTGAAATTTCTAGGGAATGATTAAATAAATTATGTCATGTCCACAGAACAGCATGCTCTGTTCAAAATAGCAAAGTAGAGGAATGTGTGAGTGTATGGAAAGATGTACCTGTTCTGTTATTAACTGCAAAAAAACCCAGATGATAAAATAGGGTAAGAGTTGCTGCTTTTGGTGATGGCAGAGTAGCTTGGCTAGACTAGCTCTCCTTGAGATAATGCATATAAATTCTGGACCAAAACAAAACACAACCATTTGGATGACTGGAGAGCTACTGTCAACTCTTGGGAAACAGGAACTCCGCTGTGAGATTTGCATTGTGTGACTTTTCGCTTGAGGGAACTCCCCGGTCTCTGCAGTTCAGTGTCAGGTGGCAAAAAGCTGCAGTCTCACAGGATGGAGGTATCAGAAGACAGAGTTCGGGGCTGGTACAGAGGCCCGGGAAAATCCCAGAAAGAGGGGAGCCACCAAGAGGATGAGCCCCCAAATCAATGTATAAACCCTGCCCAATTCCAAAGCATACACATGCGCGTGTGCACACCCACACAAACACACCCACACAGGGAAACTCCAGGAGCCTGGCAAAAAAGCAGAAGCTAGAAGCTGAGAAAACTGCAGATTTTGCTGCCTGACGTGGGAAAGACAGTTTGGCTTTGAGCTCAGCCAAGTTAACTGCACATCAGAACAGAATTCATTATTTTTCAGAGAAACATAACAGAATCCAAAGTGTCTACTACAATGTTAAATATGCAATAAAAAATTACTAGACATACAGCACAAAGAGGAAAATATGACCCACGGTGAAGGATCCTATGGATGAGCTGGATACTGAAATTAGCACAAGGACCTTAAAAAGGATTATGGCAAATAAGCTCAAGGATACAAAGGAAGACAGTTATTTAGTCCTGGTGGGGGACAAATGGAGAGTCTCAGCAGATAAATGGAAACTATAAAGAACCAAATGGATATTATACAACTAAGAACAATAACTAAAATGAAAAGTTTGCTGGGGGGCACCCGGGTGGCTCAGTCGGTTAAGCCTCTGCTTCGGCTCAGGTCATGATCCCAGGGTCCTGGGATCGAGTCCCGCATCGGGCTCCCTGCTCGGCGGGGAGCCTGCTTCTCCCTCTCCCTCTGACTGCTGCTCTCCCTGCTTGCGCCACAATTGCTGTCTGTCAAATAAATAAAATCTTTAAAAAAAAAAAAAAAGGAAAGAAAGAAAAGTTCACTGGACAAGCAAAGTGAAGATGGAGAAGAGAGTCCATGAACTTGAAGGTAAGTCCACAGATATTATCCAATTTGAAGAACGTGGAGGAAAGAGGTTGAAGAAAAATGAACCAAGCCTCAGTGAGCTGTGGAACAATATCAAGCAGACCAACATGTAGAGAAGGGGGCATAAAATTTTTTGGAAAAATAATGGCCAAAAAAATGTGCAAATTTGGTGAAAAACATAAATGTACAGATTTATGAAGTTCAGCAAATTCCAAGCAAATACAAAGAAAAGGACACCTAGGCACAGGGCGGACAGACAGCTGAAACTCAAAAGTAGCGAGAAAATCTTGTAAGCTGGCAGAGGAAGAAAAGTGACACTCTGCGTACAGGAGGACGCTGTGAATGACGCTGGCTGTGCATCAGAAAAGGTGGAGGCCAGAAGCCAACAGAACACCTTTACAGCGACGAACTGAAAGTAACCAAGGCAGGCGTGCGGGTGCCCCCTCCACGGTGGGGGGCTGGGGTGCTGCTGGGAGAGAGAATGACCCTGAGACGTAGGGCCCTGGTTCTGCTGCTCTGTGGCATCGGGCAAGTCGCATTTCCTCAGGGGGGCGCTCTGACTGGTGGGAACGGGTGGAAGCTCAAGAGCAGACAAGGCCCTTGAGGGTTCGGCTCTGCCCCTGAAGGGGAGATGTCACCCTCCCGCGCAGGCTTCTAGGCCTATCTTCCTGCTTTGATGCCACATGTCACGTTTCAGCTATTCTTTGCCTGATGCTCAAGTGCAATCTGTAGACTGCTTCACTCGTAACAGGTGGCTGTGGCAGGGATCAGAAGGAGGTGCACAACCAGCAGCAGGTGCATGGGGGCGGTGGGAGAACAGCGGGGAGCGAGGAGAGAGTACAGTTGCTGGAAATTCACCAGTCACAGCCTGAGAGCCCGTGGTGCATCTGAGAGGCTCCTTCGGCCCCTGCCAGGCTGCTCAAGAAGCAATGTGGTTTTCAGAGCTAGTGGGCAAGGTGTGGAGAGTAGAGACTTCGGGAAGGTCTGATTTCCTGCACTATCCTCCACCTAGATCTTCCCCTCCATCTCCCTCCATTGTGAAACAGCAAGTCAGCAGTGGGGGGCATCTGGACATAAGGTTTCCTTGTGCTGTAAGATGATGCAAGGCAATCGCTACCACAGACTCTGTCTGGCTCGTCTTCCCCTCCACAAACTGAGACGACCTTCCGTAGTCATCTGCTTCCTAACGAGACTCCATGACTGGAAACAGAGGCACCAAATGACTTCAGTCAAAAAAACAAATAAACCAAATCAAACCGAACCCACACAACAGCAACACTGTCAACCCCCAAATCTGTACCAAACAAAACTATTCCTGGGGGGAAAAATAGGCAAAACAGAAGAATTTTCATATAAATGAAAACTAAATGAATTTGTTGCCAAGGGATATAAGAAATGTTACAAAAAAATTATGAAACAAATAGAAAACAAACAGTGAACTAGCAGACCTAAATCCGACCACATAAAAATGTTAAATGTAAATGGACTAAACACACCAATTAAAAGGCAAATTGTCAAACTGAACCCAAATATATGCTATCTACAAAAACCACACTCTAAATACAAAGACAAAGTTAGGTCAAAAATAAAAGAACAGAAAGAGATATCCTATAGACACACTAGTTAGGGGTGCCTGGGTGGCTTAGTCGGTTAAGCATCTGACTCTTTTTTTTTTTTTAAAGATTTTATTTATTTATTTGACAGAGAGATAGAGAGCACAAGTAGGCAGAGTGGCAGGCAGAGGGAGAGGGAGAAGCAGACTCCCCATGGAGCAGGGAGCCCGATGTGGGGCTCGAAACAGGACCCTGAGATCATGACCTGAGCCGAAGGCAGATGCTTAACCAACTGAGCCACCCAGGCACCCCTAAGCATCTGACTCTTGATTTCGACTCAGGTCATGACCTCAGGGTTGAGATGGAGCCTAGCATCAGGCTCCATGCTCATCGGGGAGTCTGCTTGAGAGATTCTCCCTCTCCATCTGCCCCTCCCCCTGCTCTCTCTCTTTCAAATAAATAAATAAAATTTAAAAAAAAAAGGGAAAGAAAGAAACACCACTCAGATGGAAACTAACCAGACAAAATAGACTCCAGGACAAGGAGTGTTACCAGAGATAAAAAGGGACATTTTATCAAGACAGTGAGAGTAAACTCATCATAATTAGCACATGTGTATGTACCTAACAGCAAAGTCTCATAAAAAACTCCGCAAAAATAAAACTAAAGAAAGAAAAAGAAATGGATAATTCTAGGAAATATTTAAGGAAGAAACAATACTGATCTAAACCCAAGTCCTTCAGGAAATGGGGGAAGGAACACTTCCCAGCTCATGTTATGAGGGTGGTATAATCCTCATAACAAAACCTGACAAGACATTATGAGAAAACTGTTAAGACCAATATTCTGCATAAACAGACACTAACCTCCTTTAGATAATATCAGCAAACCAAATCCAGTAATACATGTAAAAAAGTACATCACAATAAAGTGGAGTTTATTCCAGAAACACAAGCCTAGTTTAACATTAGAAAACTCAATCACTGCAACTCACCACATTAATAGAATAAAAGAAAACCATGATGCTGAGTGAAAGAAGCTAGTCACAAAGGACCATGTATTGTATGGTTCCGTGCATATGAAATATCCAGAATAGGCAAAACTATAGAGACACAAAGTAGGTTAGTGGTCGCCTAAGGCTAGAAGAGTGGGGGAAATGGAGAGTAACTGCTAATGGGCACAGGTGTTTTTTTTTTGGTGGGGGTGGGGAGGATGACAATATCCTAAAATTGATCGAGGCAATAGTTACACAATTTTCTGTTTTTGTATTTATGTTGGAAATTTTCCAAATAAAAATTATTTTAAAACGTTGAAAGCAAACCCCCCCAAACTCCAAAAACCCAAGCAAACAACAGAATCTGTTGTGTCTACTGTCAGTATAGACCCAACCTTGAGACTCAGTTCCTGCCAATCCACAGTGGGTCTGCTGCTCTCAGTGCAGAAGATGCCGCCCGAGGGCCACTGACTAAAGGGAGGCAGTCTGTCTACTAGGTGCGCGGAGCCCAGGCGACCACAAACGCCCCCGACCAACGTCAGTCCACACTCACTAGATACTTCCCAAGTCTCGACTTGAAAGAAAACCTCGCCAGAGAATATCAAGCACTGGTATTGTATTTACCTGGTGTTCACAGTGTTTGCAGATCATGTTGCTCGTCAGCCTTCCATGGAAAGGATGCTGAGATTTCCAGTGATTGGACGTGGGGTGAGGTGAGCCTGGAAACACAGAACATGTCTTGCTATGCCACCTTGAGCCCTTTGGCACCAACCTCCAAACTCACCCTCCTTCTTAGTATTTGGTAGCAACTCCCTCTTTAGGAAGAAAAATGTTCCTGAAAAGTTAACTGAAATAGCTTTCCTTAATGACTTCCATCAAAAAGGCAATCCATCCCCTTCCCAGGAGAATTTATGCAAGTCCTTAAATGTGGTTTCTGTATAATGGGTACAGCCACATTTAAAAAAGGAATTTATATTATATGTTAACTAACTTGAATTTAAATAAAATCTTGAAAGGAAAAAAAATGAAATAAAAAAGGAATTGGTGTTGAATAATGTATTTTCACAAACATTTGCTTAAGATGTTTGAGATGTCCAAGGAAGGATACCACAAGGGAACATTCCAGAAAGTGAGATAAACTTCTGAAAATCATCAGAATAAGCAAGTTCTGAAAAACTGGATTTTTTTTTTGGATAGGACAGGAGTTGGAGGAATCAACAGTGTGGTAGGCTAGTCAGAAACACACGCCCTAGAGTCAGGCGGCCCTGGGCTCTATCCTGGCTTTGCTTCTTATTAGTTTTATGACCCAGGAAGTCACTTCATCTCTGTGAGCCTCGGTTCACTGGGAATGGGGACAATGATTAACTCATTAGCCCCACGATCAACTGGCTTTGCTTCTTATTAGTTTTATGACCCAGGAAGTCATTTCATCTCTGTGAACCTTGGTTCACTGGGAATGAGGACAATGATTAACCCATTATCCCCACGATCAACTTTGCACCATTGCTGTGAGGCTTAAATGAGATGCTACAGTGCCTGGCACACAGTTTGGGCCTCAAAAGATAACCACTGTTATTACTACTGATGCACAAAGGAATTCACATGTCTTTCCTTTTTTTTTTTTTTCCTTAAGTTTAGGTCTTAAGAAAACAACAATCTCCTTCTAACGAGGACTGTGATCATTTGCTGAGGATATGACAGTTTCAGCCTACCAAGCTCCTCACGAGATCAATTCAAGAAGGTAGAAAGGAAACCCTTGTTTGAAGTAGAAATAAGTCCGTCACTTTTTTTCTAGGTGGGAAACTGAGCGAGGTGTGAGGGAACAATTCAAGATGGCCCAAGGGAACAAGGTAGAGCTGTTTCTAAAACCCAAGTTCCTTTGCAAGTACACACAGTTCAAGTTGGACTGGATGTCCCCAGAAAAAAAAGCTATTGTTTTTGTAAACAAGGAGATCATTGTCACATCTCAAAAGTACCCATCTTGCGTCTTATAGTTTGAAGGGAATGATTACCTCTCGTGCGGCAGGTTATTTGTTTAGGAGTTACTTCTGGCTGCTGCTGTAGGGAAAAAAAAGAAAAAAAAAAAAAAAACAGACTGAAAACCCAGCTGCGATCCCTTTTAACCCCCTCACCTGCTCCTGAAGCTTACAAGTTTCTCTGCTGGTTGCACCACTTAAACCCAATTTTTAACCAGATCCTGAAAGTAGCCCTGATGATTCTCTCTGGTTGGTTCCTGTACCTAATCCTTCATCAAATGAAAAACACATTTCCTCTCTCTGGAATATTTCTCCCCACCCCTTTATTAGTTAACTTTTATCAACTCCCTAATATTTATCATGTTCCAGGGAAATGAGGATTCATTTAGCATTCCTATGGCTCCTTGTTCCCTGTATTAAATAGGGGGAAAAATACCTTTTCTTCTCAAAGCCACCACAAATTGCAGCAATGAATCATTTTAAAGAGCCTTGACACCCCTACCCAAAGTCACCAACTGCAAAGTTTGCAGCATAAGACAATCCCCCAGCCCCACGCCCACTCTTGATTTTTTTTTTTAA